GTAGAGAGGGTCGGAGTAAGAGTCCGGCAAATAGTGCGAGAGACAGAGAGCGACGAACCGAGAACGTATCAGAACGAATCTTAACTATCTATCGAGATCCCTTCACCAATTAATAAATTCGGAGCACTCACCGGAGCTGGTGCAGCTAATCCGTGGAGGCCGAGAACTGTACCCAAAGGACACTCTGGGGAGCACTGCACTAAGGCACATCACTACACCTCCGGAACACTCACAGGAATTCATAGAATTGCCTGGATATCGCGAGAACAACGCGAGAACTATACGAATCGAGAACTTGCTATACCGTAGCGAAACACGGCAAGAAAAACTATCAACAGATAGCACGGGAGCACGAGCCAGCTCGTGACACCTCGGTCGGTGCCCCGAGACAGACTGCTTTAAAGCAGTCGATTGACAATAACCAAATTCGAAAACTAATCATTCTGATTGGCCGAGAACCTTATAACCGATAACTCTTCTATCTCCTTCGAGTCGTCCCTTTAAACCAAATCGAGAGCGTTCCTCAACGAATCGGTACGTAACTTCTGGAGATCCTCCACGGCCGCTTCTCCAGGGCATCGGGCGACAGCTGGGCAACACATCCTTAACACGGACAGGAGGTTCCTCCTTTGCCCTTAATCTTAGCAAAACCTTATCTCCGCCCGCTCTATAGCCCTTGCCCATCTCCAGCGGGGCGCCGGTATCTCACCCGGGCTTCTCCCGGTCCGTGGAGACGTCTCCGTCGGGCACTCTCCTCTGCCGGGCAACTCGGTACGTCGAGCCTATCTCCCCACGGCAGATTCGAGCACCTCGACCTCAACTAAACAATAACGAAATCTTACGAGAGCCTTGACATAACTATACGAATCAATCCGACAGCGTAGCTTCTGAGCAGGGTGGCGACCCGAAGGGAACCAGAAATCGAGAACGTTATCTGTATCGGTAACCGGAGCCGCCTTGGGACCGTGATTCGAAAAATCACGTCACAATAGGTATAGATAAAACTTCCCCCTCCCCCCTCTCTTTTTCAACCCCCGTTATTCATCTTCCAAAGCGCCATTTCTCATGGCGATAACTTAAAAACTTTTCGATCCCGTGCCATTTATTTGTATCTATGCCAGATATAAAATATCGACTGATTTTAACGCCGTAACTCAATGGATACAGAAAAGTAGATGGGATTTTGTCGTTCTTCCATTGTGTGGAAAATAGTACGTCACGGAGTTCGACCGTCCTGCGAAATCATCGACGGAAAGACGGCGAAACGAGCCACCTGAAAGTTCCATAAGAAATTTGTGACAGCCAATATATACGTTATTATCGTCGAGACGCTTTATATTACGTTTAAAAAAAAAATTCCGGTGATTTCCATAAACGTGAAAATTCCTCAAGGCTATAATAACGTATTGCTCGTAAGCGTGGGTGGGCCGAGCATCTACTAAAATCCTTAACCCGATCTATTCAGATTTCCCTTTCCATGCTGCGCTACAGCGTGAACCTTACCCAACTCCCACGGGAACGGAATACATTTGTATAGTCATGACGAAAACTTTAAGCCTTCCGCGCTTTCTATCGCAACAACGGAAACGACGAGTTTCTTACACATCCGGTCATATACATCAACCCGTAACGCGTAAGTCTCTTGTTTCACCATACACCAGAATATTTATTAACGATTCCACCGGTTTCTCTTATAATTTCCAAAATCTCCATTTTCATTCTCGCACAATTGAAAATCATTCGAATAATTTATCCTTCGACAATAATGACTGCCGGTACCATCAGCTCATATGTGTCGTGTAACATATGCACCATCCCAACCATCCTAATATGACTTTCCAATACTGCACACGACGTTAGTAAAATCAGCACCAAATATTCCAGTGACGTGAACTTCCGAAGGGTCGAAGGTAACCCATACGATGTGCATACGTAGTATACGTATAAAAGATACGGTTATATGGGATACCCAGAGCGTGTCGTGGACCCGGAGAGGGGATGCATGGAGGATGGTTTAGGCGGAGCTGGTTCAGCTCCTTTTGTAATGGGATGAATGCACGTGGTGCCTTGTCCGGCACACGCACGTTGCGCCGGTTTAAGGTGGTGTCTGTATCACAGCAGAGTTCGATACCTCGTGCTAAGAGCTAACGGGGTGGCAGTGTATAGGTGGGTAGGATACGTGGGTGCACGTTGGGTCCACAGGGGTGAGTTGGGTCGAGTTAAGGGTAGAAAGAAGAAAGGGAATGGCTGGTCCGATGCTCGTGCATTGCCAATCCCATAGGTACGTCCATCTTATTTTTTTTCTTTTTCCTTTCTTCATTTTCCTCTCTTATTCTCTTTCATCCCCTTAATCTTCCTCTCTCTATCTCTTCGGGTCTTTCTTATATACTGAGTGTCACTCGGCTCCCATTCTCTCTCTCTCTCTCTCTCTCTCTCTCTCTCTCTCTCT